TAACGACGATAAACATGAACTTGAACTTGAATTAATGCCACAAGACTGTTGCCTACCTCTTGCCTAATGAACCTATGAAGTGCAATCTAAGGAAAAGTGTAGTGTCTGAGGAAAGGACTTATGTAATGTGGTTACTGTACTAACAGGATTATATCATGAAATTAAGCATTTGCTTTTGTAGACATAGGGAACCAAGCCAAATCCTCACATACAAATATAAGGAATTAGAATACCCTACTTATGGAGAAGGAACAGATGATTTAGTCACAGAGTATGCAAGTCTCAGAGTTAATGTCGACAATAGTTCTACAGTTCTAGAACCATTAATTATTGGGTAGAGGAGATAATGTCTCTCAAATCACTGTCCTACAATAATCCATAATAATCCATAACCTGAGCATTTATAACCATTTATTAACCTCATAATAATAATAATTTAAACTTAGTTTTATATAGCATATTTTAAAGTGATCATCTCAAAGCTCAGAATGTCTCATGACAAGGGTTGACCTAATGATGGTTGATAGAGGGTTAATGTCTATCATCACTGAGACAGCATCACGTCTGTAAAAGATCATAGTCACATCCGAGGAAGGCTACAAAGTTTATAATGTATTCAGAGCTGTTTCTAGCACAATAACAAAAACAAAAGTGGCAGTTAATTTTTAGCTCAAGCTCCATGTGAGTTTGCTACTCTGCAGCAGCTCAACCATTGTATATTCTGAAGTAACAATTCACACACCTAGACAAAAATTGTGTGGACATTTCACATTTCTCAACCCTGTTGTGATGCCAATCAAATGTTCTTACCTAAAATTTGAATATATTTGTCTTGTTGAAGCTCTAAATTAAACTGAGAGACTTGTTGGTAAAATTATATAGATCAAATTTAAATTTAATGTAAATTAAATTGATACAAATTTCTGTGCATTAATTTTTATAATTTGAATGTATTCTTTACTTCTATGTAATATAAAATATTAAATTACAGAAAGGGTACAATTTTAAATACTAAAACAAGTTACATAAACTAAGGAAAGTAAGTTATGTCAACTGGAGTAAATTTTAAAACTGCTCTGCCATAGTAAATCAGATAATCTGTTCATATATCTTTTCATACCCTACAGCACACACAGATTAAGAGTGCATGTATACTGTACATACACACAAAAGTCATATATAAAAGATATTAATATATTTTTTAAAAGACTGTATAAAACTACAACTGTTGGACGATCAGTACAGTACCAAAAAATTAATGCCATTTTGGTGTAGACATTATATTTTACTTAGGTATCAAAATATTTTTATAAAGATCACACCGGTATAGAACACTCCAATGGAAATGCATCTGACGAAGATTTAAGGTTCAGCCACTCCCCACAATGTTATGGGTTATATTCAGTCACTGAAAGATATTAAAGAGTTGGTGGACTGCATTCTTAAACTGTCCATTCACTTTTGTGTGTACCAAGCTCACTACTCACTCTAAAAAACTGTCACTCACTGGACATTTACATATGAAAAAGGAAGGAAATTAAGTTGTTGACGGTTTGCTTGCTTGGTTTTTTGGGTTTCTTCCTATTTTTTCTTTCTTTATTCTTCAGTCACAGCCTTAAAGTCAAGGCCAGGGCCTGCTTCCCAACTAGACTTCCACTAAACTGCCACCCCCTCCTTCCCCTCACCCACTGGCCAAAACCAACCCCTAGCAATGCCAGGAAGCTAAGAGGTATAAGCAAGCATTTGTTAAAAGTTGGCGGTTGCCCAGCTGCCTTCCTCTATCTTCCCCGAGATCTCCCTGTGTGACTGTGTGTGCGTGTGTGGTGTCTGTGTGTGTGTTTAGGAGGTGCTGTTTCCCACAGCTCTGATCTAATTCAGCTGTAATTCAATCTCCGTGTGACCAACGCTCAGCCAGCGTTCTCCCACCCGCCGACAGCCTCCTCTCTCACTGCCTGTGTTTGTCAGACATTTCCACTGTCAATCCAATAGGTTCTCCTTAAACAACCCCCCCCCCCCACCCCGGATTGATTTACTAGGTCAACTATGGGAGCTGTCTGCTGCTGCAGTGCTCACATGCCCCCGTGCATCCTGTGTGCACACCAACCTGACATCCTATACCTGCCATTCAGCAACTTCAATGTGGGAGGGAGAGTAGGAGTAGGGTTTAAAGGAGGAAGGAGGACAGGGAGGGGTGTTTGCCAGTGGGGTCGGGTGCAGGAGCTTAAGTTTCATGATATGCAGAGGCTGGGAGAGAATGGCAGAAGATATAGTGTGGAAATGAAAACAGATGTGAAAAATGGACGGGGCAGGGAGAAGCTTTTGATTCTTCACCTTCTGCTCCGGACAAAGCTTTGTGCTAAAGTTATTCCTGAACTAAATATAAACAGGTTTTCCAAAAGCCGCTCAGACTGCCAAAATGACTGAGGATGGTATATCACAGTAAATAGCAAGGTAGTTTTGGTGTGGAATTCCCTATTCTACATCTATGTCCTATGTGATTACCTTCTCTTCTGTAGAAATATTATTATTTTAACTACAGCTCTTGACTTCAGCCCTATGTATTTATGTTTGACAATTCATTAATTGCTGTCTATTGCAACAAATAAAGTTAGTTCTAATTCTAATTCAAAGTTAATTGTATTCTAATATGGTGCTAACTATTGTATGAAGTCAAACTAGATTAATGGTTTGATTGTTTTCTTACAAATAATATTATTAAAAATTAAATTTAAAGATGGTATGGCCCTGCTTGGACAAAATTTATTAATTAAATAGGCAAAATCATAATTGTGTACTGAAAAGAACCTAATAACTTCAGTGCACCACTGGGGATAGTTAGGAATTTTATACAAATGACAGACCTGACAGATATTTGTACTCCAGGTTGTGGAAGGTAACCCCCTGGGTGTGCACGTGTTTTTAAACATATAGAATTAAACATACCTTATCAAACATAAAAAATGATGTCCATATAGCCTTTTGTTTCTGTCCACTTTATGACAGTGTAGTCAGTCTTATTCAGCATGTAAAAGAACATGAATTTCCCATTAATATTTAATTCTGTCTATCTAAAAAATAGCCAATAAACTGTTATCCACACTTGCATGGAAGTGTTTAGTGTGGTTATTCTGGTATTTTATTTTAATCCAAATGCTGTCATTTTTTTGCTCAGATAAATCACTGTTCTCAGCTTGTATGTGTTGTAAACAAAGGACGCATTGATTGTTGACTTGAGCATGGTCCTTTTTTTAAAAAGCGGCTAAATGTCTGTATGATTGAATTCAGCTGGACCCACCCACTGTATGGTCCCTGGATTAGGAACTCCACAATGAGTCTCAGACTAAAAGGACATAAAAAGTTTAACCTTCCCTGATCCATTGAAAGCTGTTATCCAGCTAGCCAGAATTTCCTGACTCGCCTCTACTGGCTCCAGCAACCAATCATTTCTAGAGCCCTTTTCATTCTCCTTAGCTGAGGGCCAGACAAACTCCAATCCTCCTGCCCCTTTTCACATTTTCCTTTCCTTTGTTTTTCTCCTGGCTATTCTTTCTGTTTGATTTTCTTCTGCTGTGGTCTGAAGAGTGGTGGGGAGAGAGAGAGGATGTGACTGTATTTTTTAAAGAAAAGTTTGTTTGTTTGTTTTCCATTGAGTGTGTCCAGACATCTGTCCCTCCTTGTTCTTCATCTCTCTAAGTTGGGTGATCTTAAATTTCAGCTCCCACAGACGGAGTGCACTCCCATGCGAGTGGGGAAGGCTGCTACCGTTCCCATCAGCCAGGCCTGCAGTCTGCAGACCCCATAAGGTTAAAGTTCACAGTCCAGCGAGTTAGATTAGTATGTTTAGATGACCAGTGGAGTTGCTTCAAGCAGGACTAGTTCCATGACATCACTCCAAGTGCAGAAGGACCAAACACTCTTAAGAGCCTCAGCAAATCTCTGTGATCCTAACCAGGTAATGTTGACATTGCAGAGAGTCAGAGCACCTCTGCCGTGTCTTGGCAGGTGTATGCTCCTGTAGGTTATTGAGGTGAAGTGTGAGTCATATTTAGTTAATTTTTATGTGTGCCTTGACTTCCCCAGGCTTTAGGGCTAGTCACAGGCCCTTTGGTGGTCTTCAGTGAGGAAAACATAACAACAGGACAATCCAGTATTAGACTTTGTTTCCTAGTAAATCCTGTTTATCAAGTTTCTCATCATGGATAATTATGACACATTAAATCATCACAAAAACAAGGCTTTAGTTTGCCTGTCATTCATTGAATGATTTCTCTTTGATATGTGGGCAGATTTGAAGGCATTTTCACTGGGAAACAATTGTGTTCAGTTTGGAATTTTTCTGAATCCTGCAGTTGCAAATTTAATGCAGTATCAAGTAATTTTAAAGTTTTAGAGTTCATACTGTATGCATGTAATAATTTATTTTTTATAAGAATTTATTAGTATTCTGCATTAATTGATAATATTACATTTCTTATTCATAATAAATACATTATATGTTATTTAATATAAAGTGTTACCATTTATTGCATAATTTTGTGCTCTTGTCATATGCCCTAAATGTGAACACAACAGGAAATCATACATTCGTTCATGCATAATTACTTCAGAATTACTGACACCTATAAAATTCCATTCTAATAATATATTTATGCTACATGATCACCCTGCTTGTCTTATGCAAAGGTCTTGATGTTAACAAGGTTATTTATGTGACAGAAAAAAGTCAAAAACATATTAAGTTGTTTTAAACATTTAAGTTGTGATTTTGTTGTAAGCATTTCTACCAAGGAGGCATAAAAGAGATTTCATAAAGCACAAAGATAAAAAAACAACAACATTAAAATAGTATAACAATGGAGCAATAATATACAAACCACATTGTACACCTGTATTCTCCCAGGACACCTAAAATGCATTATTTTTTATCACACTTTCCAGTGTTTAAGATGTTTTTTATCAGTGCTGGAAGTTTCCCCAAAGCTAAACAAATACCTCCTTATGTATAAGTATGTTTAGGAAGTGACATCCTTTACAGTTTCCTTAAACTGTTTGTCGATGCTATTGATCGTGTTCACAAGAGCACGAGGCTTCATGTTCTCAGCTTCAGTGTAATGTGTAGAAAGCAAAGATGACGCATTTGATCCTGAAAAAAACAACATTGCAACAAGAGTTTCACATGAGATCTTGCTAATGAGATACATTATGTTGTCCGAATCTTTTTAAAATTGAAACTGGTACCTCAGTGGTTGCTGGTTGTCACGACCTGTACATTTAGAGGGCGCACCTTCTCTGTCCTGTTCCTACATTCCTTGTGCTTTACTTCTTCTTCCGGTATGTCTTGGTGTCTGGGAATATATATATATCCTTTCAGTTAAATTAGGTTTAAGTGAGGTCATTATTGATTTAGGCGTCAGGAGGTATTGGGGATCTCTTTTCCCTGACTCCACCCAATACCTCGAGCTCGGAGCATAACCCCCGCGTTTGCTCCGTTCCTGCCGCTACGCATAGGGTCTTTCTGTTCTCTCCACGGCTAGCCTCCGGCTTCCGTGACACCAGTACCAAACAACAGCCACAATACCAGTCCTAGAAGTCTAACAGTAAATTTAGATTGCCATTTTGCCGTTTGGAGAAACCGCTACTAGTTAGTAAAGATCCTATGGCACTATTTAAGAGACTAAGAGTGATAACCCTGCTGGCTAAATTCATGTTGTCAATCCTCATTACCACTTCTTGTTTATATTTAGTTTCCTTAGAAATTCCTAACACTTCCACTGAAACAAGAGAGATCATTTTGCACCACACACTGCCACAAGCCAGCATAGAGGGTGCTGTAGTGAGCTGGAGAATGAAATGAAATGCACCTGCAAACTACATTGGGATCTTTACGATGAAAGTGGCTATATAAAAAAATCGAACCAATGTTTCGGTTACAAAATCAATACAAACTATAATGATATATTTTATCCCTGAGAATTTTCAAATATCTCAAGTACTGTTATCAACATATGTAAAAACAAAAAGCCAAAACAGCACAGTATATTCACCGATTTAAATTAAGAAAAAATATATACATAAAATATTACATTGAAATATATCTTCAGGTGAAACTAGCAATAGCTTAGGTTAGGTGTGAGTCCTGTGCACATGTTGACATTCGCAGAATTGAAAAGGAAAGTTTAACAAAATTTGTCACAGACCTGCAGAGAACTTAATAAAAGTGTGTTTTTTTTATTTTAAAGGAAGGCCCATAAATAACATAGTACAGTAAATGGAGAGAGGATGGAGAGGGGGCTTTGTGAATCGACTGGGAGATGTTGGTTTACGAGCTAGGTCTGGAGTCCCTAAGGCTGAGTCTTCTTCAAACATTGTGTGTTTCACAAACACTTTTTTTGTGGTGTCCTGTCTTTGGCAAAATGTGCTTGGCAAAATAAAAAGGGATAGGCAGAGGTAACAAGTGCTAACATTTTAACAAAAAAGAGCATAATTTATAGTCTGTCACCAGTTTATCACAGGGAAACGTCCCCTTTTCTTCTTGAGTAGGCTCCTTTCCCGGTGGACACTCCATGCCAGCTGTCTAGGCTGCAGCCTAAGTTCTTCTTTCCCAAGCTTAGGCCTGTGGGAAAATTCACACTGGCCAGTAATTGATTCCGCCCTGCCAGCTCCATTACTCTACAGTGCAGTCAAACTGCCAGCAAGCTGCATACAGCCTGCTCACCCTCCCCCACTATTGCTCCATCATTCTGTGCTGCAGTCCACTGTTACACAGAGAGCAGCCTCAGCCGCCAGGCCACCTGATATATGCTGATATACTGTATAGTGCATCTTTGAAGGAAATGCACTGATTCCCTTTTGAACAAACATATGTGCACAGAACCATCACCACCACCCTTATGTCAATGTACTGTACATGCGGTTTCATTCCATATACCTCACAAGTACCATGAGGTCAGGTCAATGTGTCTCCTACTTTGAAATAGAAACAGAACCTTGCTTGTATATGTGTAACAGCTTCTTAATTCCTTACATACTTCCCAACCCTAAAGAAAAAATTGCACCGTGCATTCACTGCATTAGAACCCACCACCATCACCAGCTGACAAGTTTCCAATTACCCAGCAGTATTCTTTGTCAATTTTTAACACTCAATAAAACAATCCATAAAATATACAGTATATTAGGCACCTTCACATACAAAAGCTGCTCCTGTCTACAAATGTCATTCATTGGGCAACACTGACATGAAATATAGGTATAGCTTTTGGACCTAATGAGATTGGTAAAATTTATATTTTGTGAAGGCAGGCTAGGTTAGTTTAATAGTTTCTAGTCTATGACATTTAACTTGTCTTCTTGGGATGATCATCTGCACCATCAACAAGTTAATTTCTAATCCCATATCATGTGATGCAGATCAATAGTATTTATGCCAGCTTTCCTGAAAGCTTATAGTTCAGACTTAGCTGAAGTAAGAACCTTGACTGACTTCAAATGCTACATTTTCCAAAGCTTTAAAACAACATCTGTGCTGCTCAGAGCATGACCATAGTAATGGAAAGTGATGTAGCAAGGCTATATCTGAAACTTCCTTGTATGTTCCACTGAATATTTACCGCACATTACAGGATGTGAGATCAAATCCTGTCATCCTGGGCGTTGGACAACCACCTCTCATGTGTGTCCCACTGTGATAAAAAATCAAAGAAATATAAAACTAATAAAAAAATACGAAAATATTTTTATCACAATTGTTTACTTACAGATAAATCTTTAAAAAGGCATTTAAAAAAACAAACGAAGAAAAATGGATTGTATTTTATACTAATTTTGCTAACGTCAAGACATGGATTCCTTCAGAGGTAATGAAATATATTTAGTTGTTCTATCTTCTATATTTACTCTATTTTAGAGGCTTTGTAATTTTCTTTAATTTTACTGTATTTTGGGAAATATGCTTTAAATGTACTTTAAAGTCCTTTGAAATGACTTTTTTAAAAAGTGCTATGTAAAACAAACTTTATTATTAAGTTCTTGTAATTGATATTATACACATAGATGTATATAAAAACAATGATTGGCACATTGGATACTTGATAATACAGATATGAATCTTTAAGTAGATATGAAATTATCTTAATTACGTGATATCCCGAGTCTCCATTACATACCTTTCTTCTTTAGCAAAGATACCATCGGTGACAACTTTGATTTTCCATTTCAATATTTTATGTTGAAACCACCGTGCATAAGATGTTTGACACCAGAACTCTTTGAAACATGTTCCACGATATCCTGCACTGGTCAGCTATCACCTGACCTGAATCCAGGAAGAATGAGCATTCAAAGCTAACCCAGACAATAAGCTTCTGAATGTACTGTGCAATGTAATAATATGCAATAAATGAACATGGACATGCTGTTCACTCAGTGAAATGGTGTGAATTCCCAATACTATAAGCATTTTGATAACCTAATTTGCTGTATCGTACATTTTTCAAATATTCTTATCACCATGCAAATGGTTAGGTGCTTACCACAGTAACTTACTTTGTGAATGTCAGTAGTCTTAAATGGTGCCTTGTCCCAGGTCTAATGGAAGAATCAATAATAGTAGTCTCAACCTTAGCAGGCATGCCTTAAGCTGCTAAACCCCCCAGACCTTCACTTGCTTGACACTGTAAAGGTAGGAACTTTCCTTCTGCAGTGTTTGATTAAGTCAAAGGTGCAGCCCTTTCATTGTCTGCATATTGTCATGTGCAATCATTTGGATTGTCACCCGTCTAATTGGGAAAATTATACCCCTACAAACATGAAGCTTAAACTTGAAGGTTTCCCATTTGTTTCTAATAAATTATTAACTACAGTCAGCTGCTGACATGAGAAGCACTGCTGCAGCAGCTAAACATTTGCCACATGTCTAATTAAAGGTAAGTGCTCTGCCTGTCCAATTAATTCGCAATTACTTGTCCTTCTCTGTGCCTTTGCATCTGTGTGTCTCAATCAATTCATGTCTAAATGGGGTTAGAGAAGGGGAACAGAGGGAGGGGCTGCTGAGCTGGTGGTACCAAGTATTGGAGTACATGATTAGGTCTAACATGTGGTTTAATAGTAAAAAATCACAGTATGTTAAGGCATATTATTCTTTCACAACTCAGCTACCAGCTGGCTATAGAAATTCCAAAAACAATGACACAATGTATAAATGGAACATCGAGCCTTCACTAAATTCATACGGTTGCTTAAATATTATGAGGAATATCTTCTGCGAAATTAAAAAAAAATGCAGCTTGACATAGATTTCTCGTTTAAATTATTATCTATCACAAAAATCCTCCATATTTTAAAAATGCTGTTGATCTTCTGTTTATTAATGTTACTTCACCCTAATTTTCAAAATGTCATTTGATGCTGCTATATAAAGTCTTTCTTATTTTTAAAAGAAATACTGTTTATTGCTTATTGGTCCATCCACCTATCAGACTGTGTGAACTGCTTAACAGAATTAGCTTATGGATCAAGGGGTGTCTTTGAAAATCTGGGGCAAAATAATACTAGCTGAAAAAGGTTTTAAAAATTAAAACTTAAAAATGTACCTCTTTAATTTTATACAATGCTGTATATCCATTCTGCCTTGAGCTAATCAAGTAAGTTTTCAATCTAAATTTGTACATTCATTTAAAAAATCTGTTTAATCTCAGAGATCTTTGGGGAGCACTATTATCAAGGAAAAACAATGTTACCAAAATTGTGGCAGTGTAATTGAATTTGAATTTGAATTTTGAGAGAAAGGTTCATGTTCTGCTGGTATGTAATTGTCAGCTGTCACACTGATAATAGGACCCTGAGGCCCTGTCTCTTTTCTTGTTTCCTTGTTTCCTTGTTTAACATCTTTCTCCAGCATAGTGAAGAGTGATAAAAAACAGAACTTCAGGACGAGAAGAATGTTAATCAGTATGACATAACTTCGTTTGAAACATTGTACAAGAAAATATGCACTGCTATATTATTGCAATGCACAAGTGCATTACGCTCATCAATGCCAATTCTCTATAACCCTGAAATATAAAAAGAATGTTGCAAGTAGATTGCCAGGCCTTTCTTCTGCACAGATAGTGCAAGTGTTGTTGCCATTGTCACAGATATGCAACCCTCTACCATCAATACCACCCCATACTGCTGCAGTCCAGTATGGGTAATTAGAGAACCATGCACCAAACATGGGACATGAACCCACTACCCTGAGATAATGAGTCTCATGGTCTACCAACTGAGCTAGTCCGGATGTTGTATTGGGATAAATGCACTTAATATATAACTGTCACGCCCCACACTCTCCCTCGCAAACGACGTTACATTCCCGGAACCTCTGCTTCCCAATCTCATCCCTGATTGAACCCAGCACATTCTCACATGCATCAGATTCCTCAAATTCCTCAAATTCTCACTCCCTAACCAATCATCCAATCACACCCCTTTCCTTTCAGTATTTAAACCCCTTTTGTTGATTCAGGCTCCGAAGAGAACTTCCTAGACTCTGGACTTGCTTTGTACTGGAATATTCCCCGGTTGCCAGTCACCCAGCCCATTCGGCTCCTCACTCTTGATGGCTCCCCCCTCTCCCCTGGTCTGGTGAAGTGGCAGACCCCTCCCCTCACTCTTTGCATTGGCGCCACCCACCAGGAAGTCATTTGGTTCTTTCTTATTCAATCCCCTTCTCACCCATTGGTTCTCTGTTTCCCTTGGTTACAGATTCACAACCCACACATTTCCTGGTCACAAAGGGAACTCACAGCCTGGGGTTCCCATTGCCTTTCGCATTGTCGGCTTCCTCAGAAAGTTTCCGTCTCCTGCATATCTCAAGATAACCTCCCCAATATCCCTTCCCAGTACTCGGATCTACACATAGCCTTCAGTAAACGGAAGGCACTATCCCTCCCGCCTCATCGCCCATCTGACTGTCCTATAGACCTAATCCCAGGGGTTCTACCCCCTAAGGGCCATGTCTATTCACTCTCCAACGAGGAGACTCAGGCTATGGAAGATATAGCCTGGAGTCCTTGGAATCTGGTTTCATCCGCCCCTCTTCCTCACCTGCCTGCGCCGGTTTCTTCTTTGTTAAAAAGAAAGACGGCTCTCTCTGACGCTGCATTGATTATCACGGTCTGAATAACATAACTATCAAGAAATGTTATCCCCTTCCTCTGATTTCATCAGCTTTGGAATCGCTCCGGGGCGCCACTATTTTTTCTAAACTGGATCTCCGCAGTGCGTAAAATTTGATCCGCATTCGGGAGGGTGACGAATGGAAGACGGCATTCATTACTACCCACGGTCATTATGAATACCAAGTAATGCCGTTTGGACTGGTTAATGCTCCTGCTGTCTTTCAGGGGTTCATGAATGACATCTTTAGGGATATCTTGCACAAATATGCCCTGGTATACCTGGATGATATCCTAATCTTTTCCCGAAGTCCCCAGGAGCATGTCTCTCATGTGCGCGAGGTTCTTCATCGTTTGATTCAGAACAGACTCTATGCCAAATTGGAAAAGTGTACTTTCCATGTTACCCGAATCCACTTCCTTGGCTACATCCTCTCACCCCTGGGCATTGAAATCGACCCTGCCAAGACTGAATCCATACAGAACTGGCCAACCCCCCAGAATTTAAAACAAATTCAACGCTTCCTGGGATTTTCCAATTTTTACCACCGTTTTATTAGGAATTTCAGCTCTGTCGTCTCCCCCATTACAGCCCTGACCCGAAAAGGTCCTGATCAAGGGAAATGGACTCCTGAGGCAGACCAAGCTTTCCTTCATCTCAAGAGACTGTTCACCACAGCACCCCTCCTCCTTCACCCAGACCCCAACCTTCCTCGAGGTGGATGCCTCAAGCCAACTGAGTCGGTGCCATATTATCTCAACGTCATGGAGAGAAGGGTATCCTCACCCCTGCGCCTTTTTCTCCAAAAAATTTGTCCCGGGCCGAGACTAATTATGATGTTGGAGACCGAGAACTACTGGCTATCAAGCTTGCCCTGGAGGAATGGAGACACTGGTTGGAGGGGGCCCTACACCCTTTTACTATTCTTACGGATCATAAAAATCTCTCTTACCTACAAACTGCCAAACGTTTGAATCCACGCCAGGCCCGCTGGTCACTTTTCTTTTCTAGGTTCCATTTTTTCATTACTTATACACCGGGAACATAAAGGCTGACGCCCTATCTCGCCTCCATGATCCTCCTGGCTTTTTGGACCCTCCTGAACCTATTATACCCCCTGAGAGAATTGTGGCTGCTATTAGATGGGACCTGGAGAACCAAATCAAATGTGCACTTCACAACCAAACCGTTCCCCCCCAATGTCCTCCAGACAGACTCTTCGTTCCTGATACCATACGCTCCACTGTTCTTCGCTGGGGTCATGACTCACTATTTGCAGGTCACCCCGGTGTCAAACGCACTTTGGAATTCATCTCTAGACATTTCTGGTGGCCTTCTATGAGGACTGATGTTACTGGGTACGTGCAGGCCTGTCCCATCTGTGCCATGTCCAAATCCTCCCGTCTTAAGAAGCCCGGTTTACTCCAACCACTCCCAACCCCTAGAAGACCTTGGTCCCACATCTCAGTGGACTTTCTTACGGATCTTCCTGAGAGTCAAGG